CTCACATTTTTGTAAATATTGTATAACAGTGTAAATTTGCTGTCCCCTCAAAATAACTCAACACACAGCCATTAATGTCTAAACTGCTGGCAACAAAAGTGAGTACACCCCTAAGTGAAAATGTCCAAATTGGGCCCAATTAGCCATTTTTCCTCCCTGGTGTCACGCGACTCGTTAGTGCTACAAGGTCTCAGGTGTGAATGGAGAGCAGGTGTGTTTAAATTTGGTGTTATCTCTCTCTCATACTAGTCACCAGAAGTTCAACATCGCACATCATGGCATATAACTCTCTGAGGATCTGAAAAAAAGAATTGTTGCTCTACATAAAGATGGCCTAGGCTCTAAGAAAATTGCTAAGACCCTAAAACTGAGCTGCAGCACGGTGACCAAGACCATACAGCGTTTAACAGGACAGGCTCCACTCAGAACAGGCCTCGCCATGGTCAACCAAAGAAGTTGAGTGCATGTGCTCAGCATCATATCCAGAGGTTGTCTCTGGGAAATAGACATATGAATGCTGCCAGTATTGCTGCAGAGGTTGAAGGGTGGGGGGGTCAGCCTGTCAGCGCTCAGACCATAGGCCACACACCGCATCAAATTGGTCTGCATGGCTGTCGTCCCAGAAGGAAGCCTCTTCTAAAGATGATGAACAAGAAAGTCCGCAAACAGTTTGCTGAAGACAAGCAGACTAAGGACATGGATTACTGGAACCATGTCCTGTGGACTGATAAGACCAAGATAAACTTATTTAGTTCAGATGGTGTCAAGCGTGTGTGACGGCAACCAGGTGAGGAGTACAAAGACAAGTGTGTCTTGCCTACAGTCAAACATGGTGATGGGAATGTCATGATCTGGGGCTGCATGAGTGCTACCGGCACTGGGAAGCTACAGTTCATTGAGGGAACCATGAATGCCAACATGTACTGTGACGTACTGAAGCAGAGCATGATCCCCTCCCTTTGAAGACTGGCCCGCAGGGCAGTATTCCAACATAAAAACCCCAAACACACCTCCAAGATGACCACTGCCTTGCTAACGAAGCTGAGGGTAAAGATGATGGACTGGCCAAGCATGTCTCCAGTCCTAAACCCTATTGAGCATCTGTGGGGCATCCTCAAACGGAAGGTGGAGGAGCGCAAGGTCTCTGACATCCACCAGCTCTGTGATGTCGTAATGGAGGAATGGAAGAGGACTCCAGTGGCAACCTGTGAAGCTCTGGTGAACTCCATGCCCAAGAGGGTTAAGGCAGTGCTGGCAAATAATGGTGGCCACACAAAATATTGACACTTTGGGCCCAATTTGGACAGTTTCACTTAGTGGTGTACTCTCTTTTGTTGCCAGCTGTTTAGACATTAATGGCTGTGTGTTGAGTTATTTTGAGGGGACAGCAAATTTACACTGTTATACAAGCTGTACACTCACTACTTTACATTATAGCAAAGCCATTTCTTCAGTGTTTTCACATGAACAGATATAAAATATTTACAAAAATGTGAGGGGTGCACTCACTCCTGTGAGATACTGTAGGTTTTTACCACAAATAAAGGTAGACTAATAAGTCCTGATAAAAATAGTTTATGCCTTAGAATCTATCCCTGCAGTCTAAATTTTGAGCTGTTCCTAAACCTGGCCATACACTAGTAGAATTTTGTTTGAGAATGTTCCCTTTTTAACGTTTGTTTGATTTTATGATCATTAGTGGGGTCAATTCGATTTTCATTTTCAACCGCAGAGACAAGAAAATTTGAATGTGCAGGATGGAAAATTTTTCTCTAATGTAAAAATTTCTAACAGTGAATGTGGTTTTCATAAAAAAAAAGTTTGCTTTTAACTGACAGTTTTAAAAGAAATTTCTGGAAGTACATTTGAACAACATTCATCAAGTCATCGAATGCACTGATAAGAATTTTTGTACAAATTTTTGTGCGGACATTTGTTCAAAAACCTACTAGTGAATGGACAGCTTTAGGTTCAGCTTTAAAGATGTTCCAACACAACCATTGCCTGTCTGTGAAGTTTTATATAATGTGTAGTAACCCAAAGCAATCGGACTTCGTCCTTGACGAGAACTGTTATGTAAAATTGTTTTTATGTACAGCACGTTCCCTATTGCTGAATAAAATTCAATGAACTCTAAAAAAGATGTTTTTGTAATCAGTCCTTGGTAAGCACAGCACTTCAGATTTTACTCGCTACCAAGTATATTCATTTAAAAGCTGTATCTTTAAAATATATTGCACATTTATTATGTTGACAATTGGGGGTTCTGTAATAAGGTGGCTTGAATAGCATTTATTGTATAAAGATGGGTATCCCATGGCAGCCATTCTGACTCTAGTTCAAGTCTAGAAAGAACAAAAAACGTTGAGTTCTAATATGTCATGTTACATTAGACATATTGCTCTTTTCCTTCTTCAGTTCCCTTCTACCTGTCCTACAAATCTATCCCATAAACACACCGGGTTCATGGTTCCGTATATGTGAAAAGATTGTGAACATCTGTCAGTGCAGCGTGATCATTTCATCCTGTTAAAATACAGATACAATAATCTGAATATTGAGATGGTTTGGGGAATTAGGGCAGTCTGAGCTGTGGTCCCAGCTGTCTTTTTAGAGTGATTATTACAGATTGGGCCCCCTACGTAGCCGGTCACTTTGTAGTCCCACACATGGAGCGCTTTCATGTATGGCAAGGTAATCACCATTGTCCTTCTCAATATAAAACATTCAGGAGCTGTCGTTTGTACAGTAAAGTAAATTTGTTACATAACTGCTTAATACCATGTGATTTTCTCAAATCTGTGTCTAAATAATTCAGATGAAGATATGTAAAGCTTTACACATTGATCATAAGGAAGGCTCCTGCTTGTATTCAATTACCATGGGGGGCAGGTGGCTGGCTGACCTTTGATGGTATCTAGAGGGGTCATGGGACACTCCTCCGGGGAATTGGGCTGGAACAATGAATTGTGTAGCTGGAGCATTTCACGGAGTAGGGGTTTCTCATGCATCAGCCAAGACTAGTATGGCTCCTTAACCATAAACCCGACATCTCATGATGTGTGTCACTTAAATGAGTGTGATTTACAGCCTATGAATGTGATGTGATATGGCGACTCTAAAGACCTGGGTTTACTAGGAAGGGAGCTTACAATGACGTGAAGTTACTGTGAGCTGGACTCTAAGGTCCATTTAACCCACCTGTCAACTTCTTATACCTCTTGGAGATTCTCTGATTAAAGCAGAACTCCAGCCTTCTCTTCAGTCTTGCACAATTGTACAGGCTCCTCTTCTGTTCTGAAATCTCTTCTGTTCCTGCTTGTGATTTTTTAAAGTCTGATTTACTCTCATTTCAACGTGTCTTGCATAGGGCATCTTATTCACTTCACTGGGCCGCCGAATGCACATTTGTCGTCCAATGGAAGCTCCTGCTCCTTTTTATAGGCGACAAGTTTTCCACGATTTTTAAAGGCCTGTTTTGCTGCTACTCTGTCAAAATCACACTGCATTTGGAGTGCTATTAAGAGTTATGGCACCCAAACGCCTTTTAACACAATTCCAAATTGCCCAATGTGACTGGGGCCTCAGAGAAGAGGCTGTGAAGAACTGGTCCCATAATGTGGAGGAAGCCTGCTGGAGTGAGGAAAAAGGTAATTATTATTCCTCTACCCCCCCAGAACTTAATGAGCATTTAACCTCTTCCAGCCAGTTTACACATACAGTATATGTGGCCTCTCGGCGGGTGGGCTTTAAAGTGGTTGTAAAGGCCAAAGTTTTTTCACCTTCATGTATTCTATGCATTAAGGTAAAAAAGTTTCTGTGTGCAGTAAGCCCCCCCCCCTAATACTCAACCTCCCTCTTGATCCAGCGATGTGCACTGGAGTCTCGGCTATCCCGGGACTACCTCTTCTCATTGGCCATTGGCTCCTGCTGCTGTCAATCACAACAAGTGAGCCAATGAGAAGAGAGGGTGGGGCTGAGCTGCAGCTCGACATATGAATGGACACACGGAGTAGTGGGTGCCCCCATAGTAAGCTGCTTGCTGTGGGAGCACCCGACAGAAGAGAGGAGCCAGGAGTACTGGCGGGATACCCGAGAAGAAGAGGATGTGAACCACTGCAGAGTAGGGAAGTATAGACATGTTTCTCTTTTTTTTTTTTCTTTTCTTTTTTTAAATTATGCCTTTAAAATCATATTTGGCCCCATGTAAACATTTTACTGTGCTGAGAGCACAGGAACAAACATGTATCGGAAAGTCCTGGATGCATACCTGCAATTGGAAGCTTTCCAATAACAGCTGTTGGGATGATCAGCATGCCTACCTCCACCTTCCGGAAATTGATCCTAATAATGGGGCAGGAGTCGACGGCAGGAAAGGATTAACTCCTGTAGCGTGGGGTGGCCATTGCAAGTTTTTCTTTTTTTTTTTCTCGTGCCCAGTGTTAGCCTTGAAAAGGGTTAGTTAAGAAATAAAAATGAAAAGGTGGACTAACACCCAACACCCTCTCCATCCCACTGGTCGCTGCTGCACTTGCGTTCATGGGTAATAGTGTGTCCCCATCCATGCAACGTGGTGCTGGGGTTTGAGAACCATGTGGTTTTGCCACAGGCCAGTCGGACCTAAACCGCGCTGATCTGTGCCAGCATTTCTAGAGAAAGAGGAGGAAGAACACATTTCTCAAGCTGCATGGATGGGTAAACGCTATCACAAAGCAAAATACAGCAGGAACAGAGGGGGGGAGGATGTAGGATGGCCACCTTTTTCAATTTCTTCTGAAAGAGATGAACTAACCTTTGGGAAGTGAGCCTTCTGGCATTCAATCATAAAAGACTGTAGACTGTCATATGGTCTAAGTTGGGAGCTCTGGAGTAGTAGACTTTTTTGTTCATAGTAAGAAAAGGAAATTTTGTCTCCACTCCTAAAATGTGATTTTTGATGTGTGCTGTTTTGATTCGTATGAACTGTGAATTTTAATGGTAGGTCCGCCTTCTCTCTGCAGAGCTACAACGCACAGTGACCTGGTACTCCGAGCAGCCAAGGCAGGAATCCAGCACCGAGTCATACATAACGCCTCTATACTTAGTGCTGTGGGTTGCTGTGGTCTTCAGGTGAGCATGCATGCCTTTTCTCAAAATTTATATACAATTATAACATTTGTTTTTTTTTTCCTCAAAACCTGTACAGTACATTCCTGCTTTTCGAAAAAAGAAAGCTATATTAAATATATAGAGAGTGCCAGTGCTGACCTACCTCTGAAAATTGACTGCGGAGATGGCCATGGCTTCAAATTCTGAGTCACTGACCCAGTCATTGGGTCATCATGGCAGACAAGCAGCTAGTATTTTAAGGAGAGACCATGGATAAAATCTTACAGGTTTCTCATTGTGAACTTGAACTATCCTAACATATGATCTATGTTACTTTAATTTAGTGCACATGTGTAAAACATAGCTTTATTATATTTACATTATTATACAGCTTTATTTATAAACCTAAAGTGGTTATAAAGCCTAAACACTTCCTTCCATTAAGGTAAAAAATGTTTAGGCATCAGTATTGCTCCCCTCCCCCATTCCTTTTACTTACCTGAGCCCTCGTTTGATCCAGTGCTGTGCACGTCTGCAGCTCTTCTCTCCTCTCACTTCCAGCTCTCGCAGTCTTTGCTGAGGCAGCGGGAGCCATTTGTTTCCTCTTCTGTCAATCAAAGCCGGTAACAAGGGAGTGGGGGGGGGGGGTTAGTCCCATTGTCTGTGGACAGCGGGGCTCGGCAGTGAGCCCACGAGTACCGCCATAGGAAGTGGGCACTCACCAAAGAGAAGGAGCCAGGAGTGCCAGCGGTGGACTTGAGAAGAAGAGGTTTTGGGCCATTTTGTGCAATTCCATGGCATAGAGCTGGTAAGTATAAACCTATTTGTTATTTTTTAAAAATTTCATTTGCAATCACTGAAAGTGTTACTAAACCCACAATATCAAAATTAGTCTATATATGCAGTAAGGCATGCTTGATATACTCACTGTGGAACCTAAGGGGTTAATCCTCCGCATTATATAAAAACGTGGTTGATCCTACCCTTCTTCCAGTGTCCCCCTCTTATCACCTGATAAGACCTATCGTGCGGAGGCACTCTGCACATGCTCACTTTGGTATGTATTGCTAGAGTGTTTGTTTGTTTTTTGTTTTGTTTTTTCTTGGGAGAGTGCATGTCATCAGCACAGGGCCAATCAGCACTGTCCAGACAGAGGTCAGGGGCCCTGCATCCTCCTAGAGCAGAAAGAAAACTCCTCCTACAATAAGATCCCACATCTCTCCTGTACAATGGAAAGCATTAGATAAAAAAAAGCATTGATCCAGTGCTTTAAATTTAAAAAAAAAACGGCCTTGTTTACAAGGCGCTGGAACCGAAAGTGACATTGCTCTGGTCCTCCAAGGGCATAGAGATGAGTGGAGGCCATCTTTCCTTCACTTATCTCTATGCCCAGCGCCGGGATCGTTCTGTGGTTTCTCAGGTAAGGCTGAGAACTACCGAGCAGTGGGGGTGGGGTTCTTTTTGACACCTGTATTGGTGCTTATTTTCTTATCAGCCAATGCCTGATAGGGGTGGTTTCGCCCACTGAAATTTCGGTGCACCCCTAGTATTCACATATTATAACTTCAAGCTCAACTACAATAAGATATTTTGAATTAGTGAACACGTGCAGTTGTTTTTTTTTATTCTCCTGTGCCAATAATGCACCCATACCCTAGATTGTAAGCTCGAAAGAGCAGGGCCCTCAATCCCCTCATGTTTTGCATTGTATTGGTATTGTTCTGTCACATGTTCTGTCCCCCTTTGTAATGTACAGCGCTGAGCGAACTATTGGCGCTTTATAAATACTGTATAATAATAATAATACATGCAAATGTATAGTATGCATGCACCCTTTTTATATTGAATAGACAGTTATCAGACTTGCATACTGCCCATTAGCTCTTCTCATTGCAACATAATGGTTCCTGTAGTATAGGCCTAAGAAGAATTACAACTATTAGGGTCCACACCACAATGTGTGCTTTGATTGCACAAAATCGCACGTGTTGACATGCATTTCCAAGCTGCATTGCATTTAAATTGTGCTGCAATAATTATTTTTTAAATTTCACTAAGATTTTGTAAAGAAAACTTCAACTGGTTTGCAGTGTGCTTACATGCGTTTTACATGTGCTGTTCTTAAAAGCAGAGCAGCACACATCAGCACAACGCACTGGTGTGGAATGCTGCTATTGAAATACAGTGGATATAGAAAACAATCTCTCCCCTTTAAAATAATCACAATTTGTTGCTTTTCAGCCTGAAATGAAGACAGACACAGTTTTGGTTTTATCCAGCTTTATTTTCTCAGTGCAACTTATAACATCCAAGTGAAAGATCTAATACCAACATGTCAGATAAAAAATTCAAAAACAGAATCACAGAAAAATTTCAAAAACAGAAAAAAGGATAACACCCCCTTCCAAAAATTGACATCCGCTCAATCAGGTGTAACTAATCGCCTTCTCAATGGCACACAAAGCCATTTGACTTTCAACTGCGACCAGCTGTGGTCATTTTGATTAGCTCAGCATAAAAAGTGCTTTCCTGGAGAATTTCAGTCTCCAATATTGCAACTGAAGCAAAAAATCAACTGGCAAGGCACTGCCAAAAGATCTCCAGGATAAAGTTGTGGACCGGCACAAGTCAGGAGATTGATACAAACAAAATTTCAAAGGCTTTATCAATGCCTAGAAGCACAGTGAAGACTATTATTAGGATGTTGAAGATATTTGGTACAACACAAACCCTCCTTGGATCAGGACATTGCTCTAAACTGGATGAAAGAGCCAAGAGGAAACTAGTCACAGAGGCTACCAAGAGGCCTACAGCAACTCTGAAGCAGTTGCAGGAATTTATGACAAAGAGTGGTCATTGTGTGCATGTGACAACAATATCACAAATTCTCCACAAATGTAGCTTGTATGGGAGGGTTGCAAGAAACAACCACTCCTCAAGAAAGGCCACATGCAGTCACGACTGAGTCTTGCCAAAACACACCTTGACGAATCTCAGGCAACATGGAAATTGGCTTTATGGTAAGTTTTTTTTGGCTTCAACACTAAAAGATATGTCTGGAAATCCAATACAGATCACCATCCAATTAACACCATTCCTACAGTAAAGCATGGAGGTGGTAATATCCTGTTATGGGGGGTTTCTCTGCAGCAGGGACTGGAGCATTTGTCAGGATAGAAAACAAAAATGGATGGGGCAAAATACTGTCAAAGTCTTGAGGAAAATCTGCTGCCTTCTGCTAGAAAGTTGTCAATGGGAAGAAGGTTTACCTTCCAACATGACAATGACCCAAAGCACACAGCAAAAATGACCACATAGTGGTTGAAGGAGAAAAAGGTGAATGTCCTTGCATGACCTAGTCAGAGCCCAGACTTAAACCCCATTGAAAATTTGTGGAATGACTTGAAGACTGCAGTCCACAAATGTTCACCATCAAATTTAACTGAACTTGAGCAGTTCTGCAAAGAAGAGTGGGCAAATATTGCAAAGTCTAGATTTGCTAAGTTAGTAGAGGCTTATCCCAAATTAAGGCTGGAATTAAAGCAAAAAATGGGAGGGAGGAGCCTGAACATGGCGCAGAGCGGGAGATCAATGTGAGATCTCCCGACACCAGGCGTACCCTGTACCATAGCCCCGCTAGGAAAGAGGAAAGGAGGGGAATGTTTGAGAAGCTACCTCTGGGACCTACCTAAGTGAGGGTACGGTCCCTTTTGGAGGAACGTGTATCCCGCAGATCCAGGCATGGTGGTCTGAGGGAGATGGAGCCGAGGCACAGGAGGAGAGCGAGTGTCCTGACAGCTGGAGAGGAGCTCAGTAGACGATTGAAGGTCATGTGACCTAATGCAAAGGAGCACTGGGAGGTGAGAGAAGCCGGCCGGCGTGCAGGAGCAGAGGAAACATCTGATTCTAGCCCCTCGTGAGCCGGACTGCTGCGGTTCACTGCTGAGTAATCTGCACCCCCGCCACCACCACGAAGGTCGCTGTTATCTGGAGGAACATTGAAGCCAGCTAACACCCCCCCCCTTCCCCTTGGGAGAGGACACTGGATGCTGAGTCACCAGAGCAGAGGAAGTAGGAGCAAAAAGGGTGAGTGAGAGCACCATGAGTACTGGATGGGACTAAACTGTGTAATAAAACTGAGGGGGGGAAGGTACTCAGGGGGTTATATTCAAGGGGTCTTACCAATGGAAGAAGTGGAAAGAGGACTTTTAAGAAAGATAAAACCCGAAAGTGCAGTGGACCCTGAAAGAGGCTTATAGGTGAGAGGGGAAAAAGAAAAGAAGATTTAAAAGGACATTTAAAAGGATACTTATCTAGAGAGATGGAACTTTAAACCGATAATCCCTCCCAGTGCCGGAAAAAGAAAGAGGACAGGAAGAAAAGAAAAGGGAAAAACAATATGAAAAATAAAGGGACAAAAGGTGGAGGGCCAAAGGTCTCTCAAACAGGCTCAATGAAAAAATATATACCCTTACAAGAAAAACGGACCCCGGGGTGACAAATGGGAATAAATGGAAGATATGAGAAGGAAAACAGTATTGAGAAGGCACCAGATTATCCCTGGGAATGGCTAACATCAGCCAAAATATAGAAGATGAAGATATAGAAAAAATAGTGGCTTCTGAGAATATAGAAGAACAAGAGAAGAGCTCGTAATTGGCCACTAAAATAGAAATAGCAGAAATGTTTAAGGGATTAGAAAAATCTATAAAACAAGAAATGGCTAAACTACATAAAGATCTGGGGCAGGTACTTACAATGTTCTAATTTTTCGAGTTTCATCTGTAGAATCGGAAGATTCCAACAAGAAGGTAGAAGGGTAAATCCAAGAGATGTAATTTGTTCAATTTCAGCACTATAGAGACAAAGAAGAGATATGGATAAAGATAAAAGAAAGATCTATAATAAAATATGGGGAATACCCCTATCAAGGGTAGTGGAGACGGAAAGAAAATTAGAAAACATGCCCAAGCTATACAGGTCTTAGAAAAACGGATGGCGGAAATGAAAATAGAACAAAG